TACTTCCTAGGCTGTCTTAGTCTGGAAGCTCAGCTGAAATCTGTCCACCATGGGTGACCCTACTAGTAGGTCAAATACCAGTAGTATAGTTCCAGCATCTCAGCAATACACAGACCACCACAGTATGACAGATGAATGCTACTAATTAGTCACTTAGCGATATACAAATCACAACCACAATGAGAGACCACTTCACATTTACAAGAATGGCTATAATTAGCAACAGCAGCAACAGAAACAAAGATCTACCATATGACTCAGCAATTCCACTGCTAGATATATACCTTTGATGGTTTTGTGCAACCTGACTGGACCAGGATTCTCAGTGGTTTGGCAGATAAGATGTAGTTATCCCTGTAATGCAATGCAGTTAACTGTAGGAGAGGCTCTGCTGTGTGCAGCCAGTTGGTTGAAAGGATGTTTTCTCGGGGGTATGACCTGCTTTCCAATATATTAGACACTCAGCCAAAGGTGTTTTTTTTTTTTTTTTTTGGACTCTGCTAAGGTCTGGTTCTTGCATCAGACTCATTCTTTGACCTCTGGTTTTTTGGACTTGAGCCAGTGACTTCCTCTATTGTCTGCCTGCCTGCCTGTCTGCTGGACATGCCTATCTACCTGCCTTCTGACCTGCTGAACTTGGTTCATCTTACCCAGACTTGGTCCTCTCCCACCTATACAATGGTGTGAGTCATTTCCTTGATATAAACTTCTCTTTGTATATGTGTTTTACTGGGTTTGATTTTCTAAAGAATCCAACCTAAAACAATACCTAGAGTTAAAATCACAGCTGAATTACAACAGCCAAAAGGTAGAAATAACCTAAGTGTCTACCAGCAGATAAATGGATAAACAAAGTGTAGTACGTCTGTACCACATATGGTGAATATTATTCAGCCATAAAAAGAAATTAAGTTCTATATATGTTACAACAAGATATCACCTTGAGGACTAAGGGGCACCCAACCCAAGCCATGGTATTTTCAATAACCTCAGATGCATGCGAAGGTTGGATAGTGAATAAGGAAGATCATAGTAGAAATGATGCATTTGAATTATGGTGTTGGAGGAGAATATTGAAAGTACCATTGCCTGCCAAAAGAGATACAGCCAGAGGGCTCCTTGGAGGCCAGGATAGCCAGACTTCATCTCTCATAATTTGGACATATTGTCAGGAGGGACCAGTCACTGGAGAAAGATATCATGTTTGATAAGGTGAGGAGTCATAAAAAAAGAGGAAGACCCCAGTGAAATGGACTGGCAAAGTGGCAGCATCAGTGGGCTCAAGTAGGGCATCACTTGTGAGGTTAGCCCAGGACTGGGCAGTGTTTTGTTCTGTTGTGCATAAGGCGGCTATGAGTCGGTACCAACTTGATGGCACCTAACAACAACATATGTTACAACATGGGTGAAACTTGGAAACAGAGGACAAATTATGAATGGTCCCATTTATATTAAATACCCAGAGTAGACAAATTTCAAAGAGACAGAAAGTAGATTTAGAGGTTTAAAGGGATTGGTGATGCAATGGTTAAGCTCCCATAAAGATTGTTGTTGTTAAGTGTCAGCAAGTCATTACAATTCATATAGACCCTGTGTGAGCTTGAACCACAGACCGTGCATTTCAAACCGACCTTGCAGTCAAGAGCATTACCCCACAGTGCCACACTAGGACTCCCCCATAAATATGACAGCCTAGGAAACCTTAATGTGCTGTTCTACTCTCCCATCTAGGGTCACTTTGAATCAGAATCCACTGGATGGTAGCAGCAACCAAAGGGCTGGCACGGGGTGTAGGAGTGGGTCAGTGCTTAATGGGTACAGAATTTCTGTTTGGAGTGCTGAAACATTTTAGAACTAGAGAGTGGTGATGGCTATATAACATAATAAATTTATACCACTAAAATTTTATGTAAGCTCTTTTAACACAATAAATCGAATTGGGCAGCTAACCTAAAGGGCAGCAGTTTGAAACTTCCATCTGTTCTGCAGGAGAAAGATGAGGCTTTCTGCTCACATAAAGATTTACAGGCTTGGAAACTCTATACAGGTTCAAAATTGACTCAACAGCACACCACCACCACTACCACCACCACCACTCAACTCAGAGAGAGGCCTTTTATTTTCTCACTAACATTTTTACCATTCTTCCCACTCATCCTGCTCCCTTATTTTATGACAGAATCCTTAGTAACGGTCCTGTACTCTGGGGCCATAGGCTAAACTTGAATATAACCTCTGGTGATGGTGGTGGTGTGCCATGGAGTTGGTTCCAACTCATAGCGACTCTGTATAGAGTTTCTGAGGCTGTAAATCTTTATGGCAGCAGAAAGCCTCCTCTTTCTCCCATGGAGCAGCAGGTGGGTTTGAACTGCCTACTTTGTGATTAGCAGTCCAATGCTTATCCTACTGCACCACCAGGGCTCCTTTAAGCTCTCTACAGTCAGACAATTTTCCAGCTTTCTGCCCTCACTGGCTACTTCTGCTAGAGCTGAGCCACCCTCCTCACTGGAATGTCTGAGTAACTTCAAACCTTGCTTAAGCTCAGATCACATTCCCCTTGAAGCCATCCTAGAACAATCCAGTTCATGTTAGAATCCTTCCTCTGAATCTCAAGTTCTCTTGGCATTTGGTGAAATACTGTTGAATATTGTTACGTAGCTGTTGCTCTGCTGCGCATTATATTTCTTTAGTTGTCAAAGTCTCAGAGAAGCAAAACTACTTTCTATGCATTTTAACACTATTGCTAGGGAATGCACGCATTTAGTGTATTTGCTGCTAACCCAAAGGCTGAAGATGTGAGCCTACGCAGTGGTATCTCAGAAGAAAGTCTTGGAGATGAATTTCTGAAAAATCAGTCATCGAAAACCCTGTGGAGTACACTTGTTCTCTGACATTCATGGGGTCACCATGAATTTGAATAAACTTGATTTGGGTTTTAGTAGATTAATAATGCTCAGTGGATTGGTTAATTGACTTATTGTTGAATGATTACATATTCTACCTGAATCATTTTGATGGTCACATTCATAAGTCCAAAAGTTTAATTAGCTCTCTCTGCCTACCTTGTCAAAAATAGTTCATGTGTTCTAATATGTACCTGTCTCTAAAATTAATGAAATCAACATTCTCTTTTCACATTCCAGGAACTATGAACAATGTAGAAAATCAAGGCTGTCCTAAGGCCAGTATCAGAACCATGATGAAAGCACTGAGGACAGAACACTGGAACCAGATCTTAGAAATTGTGTACCAAGAACAGCAGAAGAAGACTGAAGATACTGACTGCCACCCAGCGGATCCCTGGGTTGCACACTGGGCAGTTGACCTTAAGAGCAAAGTCAGGAGAATATAATTTATACAGCATGCCTCTAATTTCCAACATTCAAAGCCTTGATGTTGAAATCTGAGATGTTGTTTACTTATTTCCCAGAAAACAAACTTAGCTGAACAAATAAAGTTACAAACAGGTACAAAAGCAGCAATATGTTCCTTCTTCCTGAAAAGACTCACAATAAAGTGCTCATGAGGTTCACATTTTAAAAGAATTCAAGTTAGGATGAAGTTGATTCCCATGCATGGTAACTCCACGCATGTGCAGAGTATAGCTGCTCCACAGACTATACCTTTTAGCATGAGACTGTCAGACTGTCTTTTGAAATACCATCAACTTTCCGGCTAGTAGTTGAGCCCTAAACCATTTGTGACACCCAGAAATGCCTTTTATCCTTGTAAAGATGTGTCTAGGGATTGTCTAGGTAAGAAAATCATGGGATATTTTTATTCTATCTCTATAATAGATTTCTGGCTTTAACAGCAGTATAAAATTTGGATGTAACAGTTATAAGACAAACCCTCTGCTAGAGTCCTGGTGTGGTGCTGTGGGTTAATGCATCAGACTGCAAAGCTGTTTGAATTGCAAGGTCGATGGTTGAAGCTCACCAGTCGCTCCTTGGAAACCCTATACAGGGTCGCTATGGGTCAGAATCAACTCAATGACACTTAACAACAACAACAGCAATAATTTTTTTTAAATGTCATAAAGTTGATTCTGATGCATAGTGACCTCAGATGTGTCAGAGAAGAAATGTGGTTTTCAAAGGCTGACTTTTGGAACTAGATCACCAGGCCTTTATTCTGAGGCACCACTGAGTAAACTCAAGCCTATAACCTTTTGATTAGCAACTTAGTAAATTGCTAATTTCATGACATAGTTGTACCAAGAGAGAGTATGTTTGTCTCTGACATTTTGGAGGACAATCCCTTTCAAGCCACAACAAACTACCTCTGACTCGATGTGATGCTTTTGGTATTTTAAATGCATTACAGTGAATTACTATGGGGGCATGAATAATATATTTGGTGAGAAGCACAATCCCATCCCTGTTGCTACTTCACTTCACCTAAGTCTTCCTCATCTAATGTTTTTTACATGAGAAAATTTTGGAGGATTCGAATCCTCTGGCAAATACAGCCAGCCCCAATAAGCTGACAGCAAGTTGCTACAGAGTAGTCATGTTAATGGTGGAACTACTTTTCCTCTCATGCCATCATCCATCAGGAATTTCTAACAAATAATAGAGTGGTTATGACTGAAGTAGCAGATGGGTACAAGAAGAGTTTAGCTTGGGATTTTAAACATATACCAAATAAGTATAATGATAGTACTTACCTGCAGAGTTGTTAGGAAGTAAATCAGAGAACACATACAAAATACTTACCTGGTGAGCCTTCAGTGTATGTTAACCAAACAAAGCAACACAATTAGAAAGAGAAGTCAAACAAAATCATCCACCCCTGTCTCTGACAGTCAACAACTTATCACCCACTTTGTGTCAAAAATACCTCTATGGTCTGGAGAGAAGCAAGTTGCCAATGTGAAATGAAGGCCCAAATACTGCCTCCCAAATCACTCAGTGTCTACTGGGCAGAGGATTGATATCTGCTCATACCCCATTCAGGGCTGTGTGCATTCAATCCTTCAATCCCTGGCTGCCACTTACTTCTTCAGGAGCATAAGTGCCAAATCCAATGACTGGCATGAAATGTCCATCATTCAGTTTCACAGAATGCATGTGCTTGAAGTCCATCGCTGTCCTAGTCCTGGCTAACCTGATTCTAACCTTCCTTTGTCTTCCTAGCTGATAGCCAGCCACAGTGGTAGAAAAGGTGGTAACCTTTCTTTATTTATACCAACCACAAACAAGATAGGCGGGGCCAAGGTTACAGCTGCCAATGGCTCCAAAATGAATTCAATCAAATTGGATTCAATCCTTGGACTTCAAGTAATTCTTTCAAGTCACTGTAGGCATACTTTACAGGAATGTTGTATAAAAATGTTATCCATGCCAGGAGAGTTTGAATCTTTCTTCAGCGTTGCTCATACTTGACTGCTTAGTTAACAAACAACAACAAAACAATTTGTTTTTGATCATTTACTTTGCAAAATTTACTTACTTTACACGATTCAATGTAATTCTTAGGTTGTCTATTTCTAAATACAGGATCTGAGTTAAGTTCCTAAACCCTTCCCTTCATCACAAATCCCAAACCGAAAATAATGATTCAAAATTCCTTGAACAAAGCTTGAATCTGATCCCCTGTATGCAGTTGGAGAATGTGATAGTGGGCATTTACTTCGATTTCAAGATCATCCATTGAAAATGAAGGTTTTGGAGAACTTGTTGGGAATTTGGATGAATGAGGAAAAGATATGAAACCATCATCTAGAAAAGCAGATGAGTGTTCTAGAGAAATGTAGTATGATTTCAGACAGAATTATTGATCCAGTTGAGATTTGTGAACACAAAATCAGCCTGGTTGTGCTTTTCTTTGCAACTTTTGTCTGCTCAGGTTCAAGCTCACTGAAAGAGAATTGGGTTAAAGAGGATTACGAGGCCAGTTTTCCAAATTCAGAGAGAGGTTAGGGAATTGAAGGAATATGCAAAGGGATCATAATAGTGATGTGTTAGGGAATGTTAGCTTCTAAAGTGGTCAAAAAGCACAGTCAGGTTAAGGAATACTTCTAACAACCAATGAAGAAGTTAGGATGACTTTTGGAGACAGGTTATCACAGAGAGTGAACCGGAAATATGTGACGTTTGGGTCAGACACAAAGATTATTGAAATTAATATTTAGAGGCTGCTGAAGTATTGATGAAGTAATGAAGAAATGATGACACAAAAGAACTGAATAGAAGATTTCAGAGGGATGCTGGAGAAAACAAAGTAGTAAAGTATTATAATGAAATGTGCTAAGACCTGGGCTTAGAATACCAAAAGGGAGGAACATGCTAGACATTTCTCAAGTTGAGAGAACGGAAACAAAAATTTGTGCCTCAAATTAAAACACTGAAGGATTCTGTGGACAAAATATTGAACAATGCAGGAAGCATCAAAATAAGATGGAAGGAATACATAGTCACTGTACCAGAAAGAATTTGTCAAGAACTGATGATATTGAAGGAAGAAGTCCAAGTTGCACTGAAGGTCTTCGTGACAAACAAGTCTTCAGGAGTTGACAGAATCCTAATTGAAATATTTCAACAAACCTATGCTGCATTGGAAGCACTTACTAGTCTATATGAAGAAATTTGAAAGATGGCTGCCTGACCAACTGACTGGAAGAGATCCATATTTTTGCCCATTCCAAAGAAAGGTGACCTAACGGAATGTGTAAATTATCAAACAACAGCCTTAATATTACACATAAGTAAAATTTTGCTGAAGATAACTCAAAAATGGTTGCAGTACATGGACAGGGAGCTACCATAGTTTCAAGTTTAGTTCAGAAGACATGTGGAATGAGAGCTATTATTGCTGATATCAGCTAAATCTTGACTGAAAGCAAAGAATAACAAAGATGTTTACCTGTTTTACTGACTATGCAAAGGCATTTGATTGTATGAACCCTAACAAATTATGAATAGCATTGTGAAAAATGGAGATTCCAGAACACTGCACATAGACTAAGAGGCAGTCATTTGAACAGAACAAGGGAAGACTGAATGATTTAAAATCAAGAAAGGTGTGTGCCAGGGCTGTGTTCTTTCACCATACTTATTCAATCTGTACGCTAAACAAATAATCTGAAAATCTGGACTATATGAAGAATAATGAAGCATCAAGGTTGGAGGAAGATTCATGAACAGTCTGTAATATGCAGATGACACAATCTTACATGCTGACAGGGAAGAGAACTTGAAACACTTACTGATGAAGATCCAAGACTACAGCCTTCACTACGAGTTACACCTTAATATAAAACAAAAGTCTTCACAAATGGACCAGTAAGCAAGATAAGAGGAGAAAAGATTGAAATTGTCAAGGATGTCATTTTAGTTGGATCCAGAATCAACACTCATGACAACAGTAAATCAAATGACTTATTACATTGGGAAAATCAGCTGCAAAAGATCTTCAGTGTTAAAAAGCAAAGTTACCACTTTGAGAACTAAGTTATGCCTAACTCAGGGTCTTTTCAATTACTTCATATGAATGCAAAAGCTGGATAATGAATAAGAAAGACTAAAGAAGAATTGATGTCTTTGAATTATGATTTTGGTGAAGAATATTATGTAAATCATGTCCTAGTGTGGTGCTGTGGGTTAATGTGCTGGACTACAAGGTCGGTTTGAACCATAAGGTTGGCAGTTCAAACTCACCAACCACTCCTCAGAAATCCTATATAGGGTTGCTATGAGTTGGAACTCCAACCAAAAGGTTGACAATTTGAACCCACCCAATGGCACCATGAAAAAAAGTTTAGGCAATCTGCTTCTGTACAGCCAAGAAAACCCTACAGAACTCAGTTCTGTAACACATGGGATTGCCATGTGTCAGAATCAACTCCACGGAAACTTTATTTTTAAAGCTTGAAGGCATGAATCCTGAAGGCATCTTGACAGAAAGCGGTGTTGACTATGAGTACTGAGATGGAACATATTGGGTAGGAGCCTTTCTAGGAGTCTGCAGAGTTCCAGAGACACTTCTAGACTCCTGACAATGGAGAAGGGGTGAACAAGGGAGTAGAGACAGCAAAACTTCTCCATGAGGGAACTTCAGAAAGTTCATGGGAAAAACAGAATTAAATGATTGAATAAGCTAAAGATTAAAGATAATTCCATTATTATTTTGAAAGCTGTTATTGTACATTGAGTGATAGTTTACATGGGAGAACATCAGTTTTGCATTCATCCTATCATATTTCATATAATTGCAATGATTATAATCCCGTCCATGCATCATCATTCAACAGTATTTGCTTCTATTCCCTCTGTTTTTCTTTTTGTTTGGGTGTGTGTGTGTGGGGGGGGTGGTGGTGGTGGTGAGGAGATGTACACAAAAACACTCAGGAATATATAATTGTTTAAACAACCAAATGGCACTTTCTGCAAACTTGCCTCCTGGCCATCAGCACTCAGTCCCTCCCTTTCCATGAGTCTAAAGTCCTCAGCTGTTCTCTCTCTCCATGTCCTCATCTCTGCCTCCATCTCTGGTGTCTCTGCTTCTCTAGTTAGGGTACCACATTCCACTCATGCTCTTCTCCCTTGATGGTCCTAGGGTCCAATTCCATTATTTTTTCATTCCATTTTTCTATGAACTTTTTGAAGCCACCTTGGATTTCATCCAGATAGATAAATTAAACTGATAAACTAGAGAATGTTTTTCTTTCCTAGTTAAGTACATGGTTCCTTTTAATTGGGAAAAAACAACAACCCAAAAAACTGGTGTGTAGGGTGCACTCTCAGTGTAGCGTGAATGCTATTAGCCCTTGTTACTAGTCAATACACAGTCCTGGTGTGACACTCTATGATAAGCACTGAGCTGTAAACCACAAGGTCGGTGGTTCAAACCCAACAGCCGCTCTTCAGAAACTCTTTACAGAGTCGCTATGAGTTGGAATTGACTTGACAACACTTAGCAGCAAAACACAGCACTAGGGGATACTGGAAGGAAAGCTGACAAAAAGATGCAAGAAGCTAGGGGCACAAACTCTGTTCTTTTCACTGGCAAGAAAGCCCTGATAAATTGTTCATTGGGAGAAGGAGTGACTGTCAGACATTAGGGCTTTCTTGCCAGTAAAAAGAAATAGCCAGGCAAGAACACATCCAAACTGAGGCATGAAGCTGGGAAGAAAAACTAAGGGGAGTACAGGGGGAAACAAGAAAGGAAAAGAGACAGTTGTGATTAGTGAACAATATACATTATACTTAGTTGGATAATTTTATGGGAGTCATGGAAAATCTTTGGGCGTTGGTGTTATTGTTAAGTGCTGTCAAGACAAGTCTGACTCATAGCTACCAAGTATAGGGTTTCCAAGGAGAAGCTGGTGAGTTTGAACCTCCGACCTTGCGGTTCAAACTGACCTTGCAGTCCAGTGCTTATCCTAAGGTGCCACAGGGAGAGAAAAATGTGTGGCGTAGAACAATCTTATCTTGAGTAAACAAAAGGTTTGTTTAACCACAAAACATATTTCTTATTACTAAGTATTTCTCAGATATTTTCATTATGACTCTCAATGATGCAAGTGGAGGTTGGTATGGGAACAGTAGGGTTGTCAGAGTTCTTCACCTCATTTGAACCCAGATAATCTTTCTTCTCAAAGAACAGACTACCACTTGAGTTTATAATATTCCAGGGAACAAACTAGGAAATTTTGCTGTAAAATTTCAATAGACAAAAAATCTTTTAACAGAGCTTTTTTATGGTTAACTCTTAATAGTCATTTATTTGTGTAACCTAAAAACAAGAAAGAATGTTCATTGAATTGAATGTTTTTACTTGAAATCAGCTAAAATATACATAGTGTATATTGTGTGCATAGCAGGTCCTTATGTCAAATACATTTATGCTAGTTACCACGCATCTATTAATGGAAATGTGTGTTTCTATGATACTGAACAGGTTTCAGTAGAGCTTCAAGACTTCAGAGCAAATAGACAGACTAGGAAGAAATACCTGACTATTTACTTCTGAAAGTAAGTCAATGAAGAACTGGCATTGCCAAGATGGCAGCTAACAGCAACAACACTACTAATGCAGTAAAAAGAGGCTGATTCAGAGTTGTAAAAGACCCAAGTTAAGTTAA